CATTTTATATGATGTCCAATTCAGTTACATTATCCTGAAACCAGGCTAACCATTCCTAACACTAACCTCTTAATGATTTGTGCCTAGTGTATTCAGATGTTAGCACCATTTTAATAATTCTTTGGTATGACTCAACAGGTTTGAACCTATGACCTCTTGTATCCATATTCCAAGCATGAGCAGGAAACAAATGCCTATTCATTGACCTTTGTGAGATACTGAAATTGGTTATCAATGAAAGATACATTTGGAAGCTTAGAATATAAAAAATAATTTTTAAGGTTAAAGACCTTTACTTTGTTGTTTCTTTTACTGCTTGAGGTGCATAAGTTTTCTTGTTAGTGGCAAGCACATAAACTGACAATACCGTATTTTGTATTGCTTTATAAATAAAATTAACAACAAAGGATATATTAACCATGAATATTCTTTTAACTTTAGAAATTATTGATTTTATGTAGCATTCATGCAACAATATTGACTATCAGACAAAAACATGAAAAGTAAAATTGCATTCATTCTGCCAATTATCTATGATTTACAGAAATGTTGTCAATGTAAAGATGAGGCAACACAATAATGTCATATATCTTTTATTTTAAAAATCAATATAAATTGTATGCATCTGTCTGTAATGACTTAAACAGTATTTTCTAACATATGTTGGATACAGGAAAGCAGTGAATGTCTACAAGTGTACCCTCTGTAGATTCAGGGATGTGGATACAATATACCTGATGTATTATTGCTCATTGGTTAGTGTGCCAAATTAAAAAATTATGGGTTTCAATATCCTAACATCAGATCAGCCCAGACTGGGTAGAAAAGCATGTCTATGCATAAGGCACTTTGCTCCAATTAGTTTGGCACTAATTAACCTATCTGTATTGCTGTGTGGTATAACACCAGACCAAACTAAACACAGTTTACAATTATGAAAAAATTTACAACATTTAAAAATGAACTTCTACATAAACATGAAAATTTGTTGGTCTTATTATTCTCATAGCAAAAAAAGCATGATATAAAGTCCTTAATAATTCAACACAATACAATACAAGTGGAGGATGAATACTTAAAAGCATTTCCAAAAACAAAAACTAGTTAGAATACTAATTCAGATGGGCCCTGAGTGGCCAAGTGGTCTAAAGCACTCTCCGTTATGCATCACTGCTATCTCACCTCTGACTGCATGGGTTTGAGTCTAAGATTTGGCTAATGTGGATATGAGAAAGCTTGCCATTAGATTCTTGTGGGTCGGTGGTTCTTTTCGCAGATCTCCTGGTTTCTTCCTCCACCATTACAACTGGCCACCATGTATAGCCAATCATGTGCTGAATAATGGCATTAAGCATCAGAAGAACAAACAAAAAATTAAAATTAGTATAAATATTTTCCATTACAAACCTCTTATTCTGATCATTAAATGCTATTCTAAATATCCTATTCTAATGTTTCACTTTTTAACCAATTCAATTCTCATTTGAATCTGAACATTCTAAAGTTAAAACAAAATATAAAAAATAACAAAGTACTGATAAATAGATCAATAAATCAATCTAGCAAATAAGAAAATAAACCCTTCCTTCTTTTATTAAGTGAAAAACAATTATTCCACATTCCAATTCAATTTTTGTTTAGTTTAAGCTTTAAACAGGCACAGTCTTCAGTTCTAGCCCAGCAGAACAAATGAAGTAATTTTAAAGTACCGGTATGTTAAATGTGAATCCATTGTTACAGTTTTAAATGAAACTACATTATCTCTCATTTACACTAATGGCCAACAATGTCTATACAACTGAAAACCAAGTATGTAACATAATGGTAACTGTAGATATGCATACAACATTACAGATATATCTCACAGTGGGCACTATACACTAACAAGCACTATGTGGAATCAATATCAAATACATACAAGGCAATATCAAAACATGGCTATAAAAGTCAAAGCAATCTATTAGTTCATACACATAATTTCAACAGCAAAGGCAAAAATATGCAACTATTTACTTGATATATATATTTAGAGTTACAAAAGAAGTTCATAAACCTTTTGTTATCTTTCTCTCTCTCTCTCCTCAAAACAGTGAAAGCTAGGATAGGATTAATAGCTTCTATATACATTTGAAGCTGCTCTATATAGACCCACTGTAATTGTGTTACTTTCTAAACATAAATACACTCATGTACTGTGTTAAAATCTGATATCAAAATCTAACCATGAAGACTTTTAACACACATATAGAATATTTTAGACACAACAGGCTGTGAGAGAGAGAGAGAGAGAGAGAGAGAGAGAGAGAGAGAGAGAGAGAGAGAGAGAGAGAGAGAGAGAGAGAGAGAACACAATGTCATGTTAAATTAACCCAGCTATACAATAACCATGCTCTGGGGTATCTGTCATGGAATGCATTTTTAAGAAAAAATATTGGAATGTACACTAGCTCTATGAAAAAAAAGTAATTTTTCATCGTCTGAGTAATTCAGAACTAGATCAGTATGTTCTTGAAGTGATTTTTAACCTTCACTCTTTGAAGGTCACTGGCCGCTTATATTGTATAAATATGTGATATTATTATAGTCTTAAACAAAATGCATGTTATGTATGAACAACATAAAATTGCTTAATTATACTTAAAATGCACTTTTGAAAATTAAAAAATTATACTGCAATCTCAGTAAACAATCGGTAGTTTCCACATGCCAAACACGGATATGGCATATACTTACTCCTTTTATTCACTCTAGCCATTTAGGTGTTTAATTTCCCGATGTAAATGTCTATGTGATATATCTTATGATCGTGCTTTTGTATGATGCACTGTGTTGCATTTGGATGTAACTAAAAGAGTGATGGTGTGAAGATTTCTTTCTTTTTCTGAAAGACTCTGTTTACCAAAAAAAGTGAATTCAAGCTGTGAGTTAGAATAGGGTAAGGGGATGGTAAAATTGTATCATTAATGTTGGATTATTGTCAATTTGGCCCAAGACAATTCGGCCCAACTCGAAAGACTTTCTGCTCAAATTAACAATAGTTTGAGCAATTTCTTTTTCTAAAAAAACAATTAGATACTATGCATGATATATTTTAGGAATAAGTTACAGGAAAATTTTTTTTAAATGAAACTAATATTCATTCAAAGATATATATGAGAGAAAACATAAGTAGACATATCTGGCTCATTCTATTTAAAATATTTATATAAAATATTTTATGCTAAAAAATATATGCATCTGCACGACGACATTCTCAATGTAAGTCTTTCAGTCAAATTATCAATCTTCATTTATTAAACAAAAAAACTTAACAGACACTATTCAATAAAATATGTATGCATTTGTCTAAGGGTAGTGTTCACGAGATATTAAAACAAATATATTTAATTTTATGCTTCACGTTGTAACACTGATGCATGTAATATACACTAAGTTATGAGAGACAGAGAGAGAGAGATGGAGAATAATGTTGAGCATTGTGTCAATGTTACTGCAATATGCAGCTCTTAGCAGTTAATTTTATTGTTTTTATTTTTCATGTTATTTTAGTGTGCGCGCACATAAAGTAAATGCTTGTCATTACTAGTCAATATTGTCAATCATATTTGTTCCAATATGCCATACAAATAAGAAAGGAATTAATTTTGCATTGAATTTGTGCCACTGTCCCACCTTGAAAAGGTAAAAAAAAAATGACAAACATACACTTATTTGAAAATAAAATGAAAGAAACTAACTTTTTATTGTTATTATAAATTCCTTCTTTTTTCATCATGTGAAATTTGTTAAAGAAAAAAATTACCCATGAACTCCATGCATCCTTTTGTAGTGTGTATCGCTTATGTCAAATAACAAAATCACAAAAGAGACGAAAATATCATATGATTGCTTGAAGGCACCTGCCATTCAAGCATGACATTACAAGGTGCATCCAAGTTAACTATACAACAGTATTTTGCAAAAAAAAAATCATTATTTTATAATGCAGCCACTTTGATAATCTTTTTGCTAGCATGGGTTACAAAAGTGTTATTAATGTACATTATTGTTGTGCATACTATTTGCCATGCAAATATAAATTATGATTACATATGGGAAACAAATAGAAGCCCGGGCGATGGATAAACACAACTTTGAGTGAGTAATAAACTCTTTCTTTTAACTTTTCTGACAGGATATCAAATACAAAGGTTATCATTACAAAGCAAATAACCCCAAAACTGACTTTGGTATCTTTTAAGTGTGCTGATTTTTTTTATGAAGTTGGCCAACATAAAGAAGTCAAGTTTGGTTTCTATGGATTCTTTTAAGTGTGACGATTTTCTTTTTTTAAAAAAAATAAAGTTGTTCGACATAGTGAAGCCAATATCAATTCCTTTTTACCTATATTAATGGAAATTTCAAAACAATGGAACAGTTTTGAAATCGACACAATCTAGTGCATCACACACACACATATCAATATAAGACTGAACAGTGAATTAGTTTTCAGTAGTTTCATCTAAATGTTCCCTATCCATGGTTTATAATGTTTGATCTTTTTACAACAAGAACCATGTACTTCATCTTGTGGGGATAAATGCATGTCATTTCCAGCTGGCATTCTCTATAGGGGGAAAATAGTATCTAAGGTGTTAATTAAATTATTATTTCTTCTTTACACTTGATAGTTTTCTTTTGGTTCTTTTTGTACAAGTATAACCACTTTTAATCGTAAAATGCAAATCTGATGTAAACAGAAAAGTATTGGAGTCTGGCCAGTGACCTTTAATAAAATTTTCCAAATGTTTCCAGCACTATTATTATAAAATATGCTTCATGTATTATTTCAAAATTTATTTTAAGTGTAAAAAAATTCAATAAAGTGGGAATAAGTTTTCTAAAACATACTTTCATTTCATGTCAAAATCTCTGATTAAGTCAGTCACAATTATTTAGGGTAAAACATTATACTTCTGTAACCTTGTGTACATATTAGCAAATGTTTTAAAATAGTGAATAGCTCTGGTGGCCTAGTGGTTAGAATGTCCACCTTGCATGCAGAAGGCTGTGGGTTCGATCCCTGGTCGAGTCATACCAAAGACTTATAAAAATGGTACTAACAGCTGCCTTGCTTGGTGCTCAGCATTAAGAGCTTAATGTTAGAACTTGTTGACCCGGTGTCTGGATAATGTATATGGGTGGGACATCATGCTACATATCTGTGGCATGATGCCCCGGTGCTAGACATCACTATAAACTGCCACACTGCAGACATCATAGCGATATGACTGAAAATGCTACGTTAAATAATCCTAATCACATCACATCACTTTTTAAATAGTGGAGGCTGGAACTTAACTTCTTGAAAAAAATACTGTTCCTATTATTCCTTGCTGGCTATAATTAGATTGGCCATAAAACTTAAGGTACCAAAGATCGTTTTCTAATTGTCACTCTTGCCAAAACAATGAGAAAGATTTTTAGATGAAAGGTAAAACATAGTATATACTTTTTTATTCCTGCAAGATCCAGCAAGTATTAAAACATGGCAAGGCACATAAATTTAAATAAAGCAAGGCATATGTTTAAACACGGCAAGGCATGCACATTTTTTAATCTTTCTGGAAAAATTACTAGACATTTTGTTTAGAAATTATCAGCAAGTAATTTGCTTTAAAATAAATGTGCTCAACCTGCATGTGCAATTGCATTATTTATAAATAGCTAAAGATTAAAAATGAGATTTGTAAAATTATCTGGAAAAGGCCTGATTAATGAAAAATGTGGAATATTAGCTGCCTAGATTATTCAGTATATAGAAAATGGATAGATGTGGCTAAAATGTTTTCTTTCAAGGTTTCCTTGTTGATTTATATGTATGTATGTATGTATGTATGTATGTATGTATGTATGTATGTATGTATGTATGTATGTATGTATGTATGTATGTATGTATGTATGTATGTATGTATGTATGTATGTATGTATGTATGTATGTATGTATGTATGTATGTATCCTCTTGACAAATGCATTTCATAGCATATGTACTGCACTAAAACACCTATGCACATGTTTGTATACATGCACATACACACATACATATCTCTGAGTATATGAAAATCACAGTGTGCTCAAATGCTCTGGTCTGCTTTTGAAGCTAATGAAAAAACTTTTAAAAAAAAACATTTAAAAAATTACAATAAAATTCACCTCCAAATGCAAGGACAACTCTATACTGCACCAATTGTGTACTGTCTATACATATATAGAGTAAGCACATGAAGAACAAAAGAAAAATTTTCAACACGAATACTGTACATACAACAAGTAATCCTAGAAGATGCTATCTTTGGAATTGATGCCATGATTATGTGTACCACTTCCTCTGAATCAAGATGTAAAGAAGAGTCTGTTTAATTTGGAGTGAAAATATTAGGCACAACATGAAACATATACTACTGAAAAACCTTTATAACTGCTGAGACTGGAGTAATCTCAAGTTAGTTATAATACATACAAGTATTATATTGTAGAGTTGATACACAAAACCCAATATGTTGATGAAGCCCAATCACATATCATACAATTGATCTTCTGGTTATCTTTCGTCCTAGCATGGAAAGAAAAAGCATACCACATTTTACTGAGAAATATGTCTTACTTCTATGGTTTGGTCCTATGAAGACACTATCAATACAATGTATGCTTAGTTCACAAATAATCTTATAATAAAGAAGAATAGCCATCACACGGAATAAAGCCTTGCTTCTTGGTAATAAGAGGTTGGTGCATCAAAGGGAGAGAACCATCGCCAAGTGAATGGATGACCAAAGACTGATTTGATGCTCAGCCAGTAGGACCTTTTCTCCGAGCTTCCCCGGTCCTTCTTCAATTGCTCTATACCCTGAAATGGAACAGTGATGGATATAGAAAAGCAACTATGGAATCCAATGAAGGTTAGAGTAGTAGAAGAAAGTAAGAATTCGAGCTCAACAACCCCACTCCCCACCCCTCCAGACCTCTAAACAAATACAAAATACCTAGGTAACGTAATAGAACACCGTAATAGAACACCTGTTACAATCAATAATTGCGCTAAGAATCCGAGCTCAACAACCCATCTCCCCACCCCTCTAGACCTCCAAACAAATACAATAGAACACCTGTTGCAAAATACCTAGGTAACAGGTAAAATTTAATTACATGATCTTCCAGAATAAGCAAAATGATGTGTCAGTCTCAATCTTCCAAATCATTACGATTTAGCAGAGCGTGGCGATTGTGGACTAAATTAAGCATTAGAATTCCAGTAAGGTAAGTGGTATTATATCTTAATTTTATGTTATATCATACTTGATTTGATAATCTTTCTCATATTTGCTGATCCTCATGGGTATGATATCTGTTAACATGTTGTCAATAATACGAAATTCACGTAATAAATCGTCCATACTATATTTTACTCCTCATAGGTAAGATCTTATTTGATCAAGTAGTTTTTTGTAAGTTATAATTGATGTTAAGCAGCCGTGCTTTTTTATCGAAATTTTAGGTTCAACTTTTTTACAAGCTGCTGTAAGAGAAACACCAACACCGGATATGATTAACAAAAACGGGTTTAATGATATACCACTTGAAATTATGCCAGAACTAGTCATTAACAAGGGTAGATATGATATTACTCGAAGTATTTTGTTATAATATTTGTAGCATTTTTTACGCACCAAAGTTTTTTGTGATAATATTTGTAGTATTGTATTAGTGCGTCAACATCCTGTCCTGGAATATCTTTTGAAATATGATTGAAATCAACTATACTTTTTTTCATTATAATATTTGCTCACATAATCTCAGGCTTGATTAAGTAACTAGTTGAGGTGTTTCAGCCACAAATTCCAGACAATACCAATATGACACAGCAGTTAATTTTTGGTCATCTGCTATTAGCATAAAAGTTTCTTCAACATCTTTGTTTAACACAATAGACACGGTTCCAGAGAAATTATCAGTCGAGTGACGCCATGGAAATAAGGTAAATATATTAAACTTTGCAATGCTAAACACGGACAATCTATACACACCAGTGACCTCTGCAGTATGTTTGAGAGTGTTATTTTGCGGCGACCAAGTAGACATTCCAGAAGCAACAGTATAGACAATATTTTTAATCTGCTTGTGAGGAATTTTAATCATACTCGTTTTCTCAACAATACTAGGAATTCCACTAATAATATCGTTGAGTTTTGTGTTAATATTATCGAGTGTAATATCAACAGACGGCGGACTTCCAAAAAATTCGTTATTGGTTTTGTTTATGTTTCTGCGAAAATTTAAAAACGTGGTGATGTGATTAGTAAAATCAGTTTTGAACTTGGTGATTTCATTGTTGATATCATCAACATATTTCTTTGTTACAGCATCAAAATCAAACTCTGGTGTTCTAAGGTTAGTAATGCTATTATTGTTCATGTTGAGAAACGCGTACATTATACTACCACGCACCGACACGTACTTTGATTCCTGATCATCAACATATTTCTTAGTAGCAGCGTCATTTTCCTCAGTTGGGTTTCCAAGGTATGTGATCTTGTTCTGGTTCATAACAATGTTCCCCGTAAATAAATCACCTGCTTTTCTAACATAATCGTTAACTGACCTACCCGAATCTTCTATCTTACCTTGATTGTTAAAAGTAACAATATTATTAGCAACTGCAGTAGGATTTCGTACAAGTACATCTGACAGTTGTACATTACTCGTCTTTAATCGTCCTTGTTTGTCCTGGAAAACTACAACTTCATTTGGATCTACACTTGCAACGTTTAACAAATTGTTGATTTCATTTTTGAGCTTATCAAGAGTCGCATACTTGGATAAGTCACCCTGGTAACCTTCTGTTAATAAATCTACTGCTAATGTTCCAAATTTTGTATAGTAGCTCATTATACATACCGTTCTACACAAAATTGTTGGTTTAATATAAAATAAAATTATACGATGGCGAAGATAATAAACTTTGACACCGAGCGATTGGTGAAGCATAAACATAATGAACTTCCAGACTGTCATTATCTTATTGTTGGGAGAACTGGATCTGGTAAAACAAATTTGTTATTAAATCTTTTACTCAATAATAACTTTAACTATGATAAGGTGTATATTTACACCATCAACCCCCAACAAGACAAATACAAATTATTAAACGAGTATAATGATAAACTTCGTGATGAACTTGCCATTGGTGATATATTTTTGATAAAACAACCAGAAGAACTCGTTCCAGTGAATGAACTCGATTCGTCAGAGCATAAGATAATCGTCTTTGATGATATTCCGCTAAACAATGAGGAGATGAACAAGATTAGATCATATTTTTCACTATCACGTAATAAAAGATGTAATTCTGTTTATCTTGCCCAAGGTTTTTATAATGTTGATAGGTTTATTAGGCGAAATACGGGTTGTTTCATATTATTTCCCGGACTAGATAATGTGGATGTGAGAAATATTGCAAACGAACAATGTGGTGATGTTACAAAAGATAAATTTATCGAATTATATTATCGAGCAACTAAAGATCGATATAGTTTCTTTTTGTTTGACAAGCTAGCGCGTGATCCAACCAAGATGTTTCGTTGTTGCCTTGAGACGTTTCTATGATATAATTTTGTAAAGCGTATAAAAATAATGGACAAACATCAACAGAAAATCGAATTACTAAAAAAGTTTCTCGAAACTCGAGCGGCTTTTAAGAAAAAGGTGGAAGAAGCTCGACGTGGACAATTGACTGCTACAGAAAAAACAGCTACGATTTTCAGACCAATAACTGAAGCAATATTAGGTAAACAACCTGAAACTAAACCACTATCAGAAGAAGAACTGAAACAACTGAAAGAAAAAGGTTGGTTGGAATTGATAAAGAACAACAAGAAGCAGCTGCTGCAAAAATCATTACTAGATCTGATGAAGACAAAAGAAAACTAGCTGAGTCACTTACAGCAAATATAGCTGATCCTGCTGCTAGACAGGCTGAAACAGATCGATTGATAAACAATCCGCTAGAACTTGAGAGAAGATTAGCAGAGTTAACA